GACTGGAATATCTTGATCACTGTCGCAGGAATCCATTCAACTTGAAATGATGGCTCCACCCATCGTCCATCTACCTCATATGCACAATCCTTTCCAGCCCATGCAAGATAGCTCTGTCTGTCGATTTCTGCCACAAAGTCAGTCACCTGCTTGACCTTCGTCACCAGAACAATTTGCGTCAAAGTGGAGAGGCCTTCCGGACGATATTTAACCAGGTATGGAATTTGTCGAGGCTGGCCTTGCCTTGCAACTATCAAGAGAGGGGCTTCCGGCACCAATTTCACTCTTCCGAGAAAACCTCGTATAGGACCCCTCAAACTTGGCGACAGTAAAGGCTCTAACCATTGTCTGAACTCACGTTCATCTGATATAGAGTTCCGTTCACATCTGGCCAGCGCATCCCTAATGACAAACCCATCTCCTGACACTACCTGTACAGTAAATGTCTGTCCAGGTTGCAATGCGTGAAAGGATTTGCGTAAAGCACGCAAAATGGTATCTAGGTCTGCCGACAAATCACGGATTGAGAGATCCGCTGCAGTCTGCATCAGCCTTGTTTCATCTTCTGTCTCTGCTGTCTCCGGTGACTGAATCCTACGACCTTGGACAGAAGAATGGTCACCAGAGTGATCTTGCAACACCACGTCCAGTCGATAGCCATCAGCGTTTATCGGCAGGATCTCTTCATCAATTTGCATGCCTCCTAACAAGAATTGGCACATCAGTCGACTACAATCCTCATCAAGGCGCAGCCATCCGATTATATGTTTCCGTGTGACAGGCGATGCAAATGTCCCTGCTATAAGGGTATACTTGTTTGGTTCTATATATGACCGATCAACACAAACTAGCGCAGCAAAATGTCCCTCAACTGGCACGAGAATCATGTGAACATCATCCAATCCATGTTGTTGATGTGGTGCGGGTTGAGGTTCGACCCACCACAGCTTGGCAGTGTCCGCGAGTCTGCCATTTGAAGTCGAACCCAAGGCACTAGTTGTTCCTGATTCCACGTGTTGTCCCAGACAAGACCCGCTGTGTGTGGTTGGTGACCGTCAGTAGGAATGTGCACATGCAAGTACACACTCCTATGTCTGCGCTGCAACAGGAACTGAACTTCAGCTCTGAAATTTGCCTGTGCATTACAGGTTGTGATTGGTATTATTCTTCTCGTGAAGACTCTCCAGTAAAAGCACGATTTCTCTCCGAGACCGGAACCTGACGAGAAAGCAATCTCCTTTCCATGGAATCTCTCCCGTGACGGATAAATCTCAGGAACCTTCGTGTCTCAAAGACGGCATTGAATTGTTCTAGGAACAGGTTGTGAATTGTGAGATCGATCTGAAAAAGACTCTGCTCTTCTGTGCGCATCTTCGTACCATTCTGCAGCAGTGTCGTACCAAGCGAAACTGCCTTGCGCTTTCTGGATACATCTGTACAAGAAATAGCACGGCTTAACCTACAATGGGCACCTGCCCGTGCTTCAACAGTATCGTCCCAATCAAACGTCACAAAATCATTCCCATTCCAACAAGACATTTGGCAATGCTGGTTGCAGAAAGGGTCGAACTCCGTACCTAAGAAAATGTCACGTACCTTGGCATCTTGCTCAACCCAAACCCCACATCGCACTATGACATGCGTCATGACGTCAACCAAGAGAGGTCTAGCGTGCATCAGATCATCTTCTCTAGGAATAATAAGCAAATCCGGACCTTCTAGCACGTTCGAATGCTGCATTTGCGCAATGAAAACAGTGATGAAGCTGCTATCTCCACTCGGAAGCCATGCAGCCATGAGTGCGTTCTGCCAGCTCAGGGCTTGATAGAACCTTATTTGCCTTGGTGTCCTAGTGATTCGATGCATCTTGGACACAAAATATGTGTCCACCACCAGAGGATCCATCACTGGCAGTTGGACCGCAGATTCGGTCAAAAATGCTCTTATAATAGGTCACCAATCTCGGCTTCACGTCCTAAAACCACTGCTCCATGCACAGCTGTACGATGCATTTGGGAACCATGAGGCCCAATTTCACTTTCTCGAAGTGATGCCAAGTCACTCAAATCAGGCCTTTCCATGAATGATGCAACGTCATGGTCGGCCTCGAAATGAGCTGTACTGTCCGCTCTCCTAGTCGATTGAATAGCAGAAGACATCGCGTAAGTCTCGGCATGGATTTTCGCCCTGACACCCACGAAGTCCAAGCAAAGGAAGATCAAGACTATTGCTTTCACTTGCCTTCTTGTTATTCCATGATATCTGTTCGATCGAATTCGAATTGGCTTTCTTCTGTCTACCCTAAACTGACACCAGGTTTCCCAACATGCGTAAAGTCCAGATCCGAGTAAAGCGATCAACTCAAGACAGCAAAAGAGGATTGCTTGTGCGACGACTTCATCCGCGAAATCATCAGCATGACACTGCCCCCGTCTTGAATCATTGACCTTTGAGTGCGTCTCGAAAGAACCGCTCTTTGGCATCTCACGTCTGGCCAAACATTGTGGAAAATCACGGGCACGAAGTAGCACAGGAAGCCTGGAAGTGCCTATAAAGGCCTTCATATCTTTTTACTCCTGCATTATGAAATTCTCTGGTTGTTCGAAGGAAAGGACGGCCGAATGGACCTTCACTCCAGCAGTTATAGCTATCCGTCCAAAGGCGTGCCTTCAAAAACGGCGCCGATGGACCGTTCTGACAACGCTCAGCAACATGATAGTATCCCCATCCATCATGGCTGAAAGTCACTTGTGTTCTGCTGGATCTCCATCTGCCTTCTCCCCCTTTTCCTTTTTCTCCACAGCTTGCTTCAAGTGAGTCTGTTTGACTCCCTTTGGAGGCGATGCAGCACTTGCAGCTTTGCCCGACCGAGGAATGGCTCTTCGAAATGCTCTCAAAGCAACTGACCAGCTCTTCTTCCATGTCTTCTTGCATTTCGTCGTCGTCGATGAGCTCCGCTTCCTCGATTTTGCCAAGCATCCTCTGCATCTCCTCGAGAGTGGGAATTGCTTCCCCCTCTTCTTCCACACTGATATCTGTCCTCAGTGCAGAAGCTACATGCTTCACCTGCGTCCTCAGCAAACTCAAATTCTCTGTTGCCTCGACAAGTGCAGCTTTGGCCTTCTCTCTGTCCCGTTGATAAACTGCCCATCGCTCTTGCATGCTGTTCTTCGCTTTTAAGGCAAAGGCCTGCCAGTCTTTGTCGACTTTTTGCACTTCCTGTTTGCAGAGCTCCACCTGCTTTTGCGCCTTCCCAAGTTTGGAAAGATGCCCATGTGTCAGGCGGGGACTCGATTCTCCTCTCTGCTCCAGGGTTTGAATCTCCTTTGCCAAGCTCGAAGTCGCTGCAGTCCCATAATAGATTCTGATAGCTGCCAGGTGTTGCTGAATATCCACTGTAGCGGCGTTGCCTTCTACCCCACCTGGAGGAGCTGGCGGTGGTGGTAGTCTCGGCGAGGGTGGTAATGCTGGTGTGGTCTGTGATCTCCCCTTGCTCTTGGCTTCCTTCCTGGTAGGAGGCGTGAATGGGTCTTGCTCTTTCCGCTTCTGAGATTTTGACCGATCTCGCTTCCAATCTACTGCCGTATAGTGCCCTCCGCAGTAGAGACAATAGAGAGCTTTGGGGGCATTCTTCTGACCACACTGGCAAATCCACCTGAGAGGCATTGTGGATACAGTATTTGGCCCGGCAAGGAACTGCCGTGGTGCGTAACAATACGTGCTATTGCACCACTCAGACGATGGTGGCTTACCTTGAGACCTTGACTCCAGGTTCTCAAAGTTCTCCTTGCAGCTTGTCTTCTTCTTCTCCGATTCCTGTGCCACCCAGGTTCTTTGAGGCGTTTCACCTTCAGGTCTTAGTGGCAGACAGAGTAAGAAGATCGGGATCAGGTAGTAGATCAAAGATCGAACCGCAGTGACCATGCACGCCCGCACGGTCGCGCGGCCCTAAGGCTAACCGGCTGTAACTAACTCGGAGGTGAGGGGACACTTCACACCCCGAGTCAGAGCCAAACCTTACCTGGAAAGAGTTTCAAAACCAAAAAGTAATCCAGTAAAGGTTTATATAAAATCCTTTATTAAACTCGTATCAAAAATGCAAAAAACCTCCAGATCGAAGGGTCTTTTTTCCCCTACAAAAACCTTCATTAGAATAGTGATTCTTCAGTAGACTAACAGCTAAAGCTTTCGAAAGGTGATGTCGCTGTGCCATGCGGTGTTGCATGACCTCGGTGGCAAGTGCGTTTGCGTGAGTCCGTGCCATTGGGGGAAGGAAAGCCTGCTGGTGTAAGCGCGGCGTGTCATGGTGGATAGACAGGGCGGACAGAGGTGGGCAGTTACGGTTGTTTTTGGAACCTAATAAGAAAAAACCCTCCAAAATCGGCCATGTTGGTAGTTTAGTATCGGCTTGAAAGGGCGGTAATTAAACACAAATATAAACCATATTTAGGGGGATCCGACATAACATTTTTTTAATTGGGGGTCCGTTTTTAATAGGTACTCGGGATTAGAACCGGTGCCCGGCTTGGGAGGGTGTTCCACCCTACTGGGCTCCACCCTACTGCGGTCTGTCTTGTCGTGCGATGAGTCGGTCCATCCGAAGTTGGTGAGGGCTCAGGGATTGCACGGATCATGTCTATAATAGACGTATGCTGGTAGGTTCAATGAAATGGTGAAATCGTCTGTGTAAAAAGGTATAAAATCGCTTGGAGCATCTCTTTTCTTGGAGCATCACAACACCTCTATCAACCGGAACCCCCAAGTGGACGATGGGTCGTCCTTGGACCCACAGGAGTGCCAATTGTGGCTTCCCCCATAACGAGCCATATCGAACCTGCTAGTAATTTGGTGAACAAAGACAGCCAAGTGATTGTTTATTGTTTTGAACATGATCACTCGGGCCAGATCCCAGATGAGCCGTCGTTCCCGGCCGGTTGGGGAATGTATGTCCGACCACGTGCCGGCAACTGCCGACCGCGTGCGTTTTCGTCCCGTGGCAGGACGGAGTACATCCAGTGCGGTGTGAGCGGTCCCAACTGCCTTTCAAACGCTGTTTGTATCTTTGACGGATGAGACGCTGGATGAGGCGACCTGGGTGGACAGGGGTGGGCCACCAGTGGGTCAAACCGTTTCAGAGGGAAACATATAGGATCTGGTTGCATTTGGTTGGGTTGATCCTGAAGACCTCCGAAGCCGATTGTTTGCAATGGTTTTGTTCTTTCATCTTTGTTTCGTGAAGTTTCGTGTTGCTTCCCATTTGGGCCAAATCTCACTGTTTATGATGCACTCGACGCAGCGCATCCGACTCGTCCGAAGCCTTCACACGCCTGAACAACCCGTGGGCCCGAGGTGCATCGCGGCATTTCCCTCCAGCTTTTTGGTGCTTCAAGACAAGAGATGCATTATAACTTATCGCGTTGATGTGTGTATAATACATATATGTATATATATAATACAAATGTTAATGTAATCCTTTTTAAAACTTAAATTTTAGTGTTGATGATTCAAGAGTCCAAATACGTTAATACGTCAAATACAACTCCCAATCTAAAGTCTTCTCATGGGATAGCATGGGTGTGCAAACTACCTTGCAAATCTCATCAAGATGAATCCTATACCGCCCCATACCTCCCTACCTGGTTGGATCGTCTTAGACTGAGACGAAGAGCCAGGTGAACTCCAATGAATCCTCGACCGTGAAGCGATCCCATTTTTCCACCCACACTGAAGCGTCAGAGATGGGATATCGACCGCTTTAGGACGTCAAGATTCCCAAAGATAGCATAGGTCGCCCCACCATTTCATAGAGATTTAAACCATATGTAGATCGCCAGTCTCCCATCTCTGGCCCGCATGAGGGGTACAATATCTGTGGATCTGGAGAGCGGACCAAAAGCGTTTGGTGCGCCGTCAAGGGGCGAGGGTGCGGCAAAACGACATGGGGGGGTCTGAAAAAAGGTCAGTCTTCATCTAAGAGCAGCTGCTGTTCTCAGCATTCTCCATTCTTTTGTGCTTGTTCCGTGCTATTGTCCAGTCATGGTTGTTGCGCCAACACTCCGCACTTCTTTTTTCCGTCGCGCCTTCCGGGGCGACGCGCTCCAGGAGGTCGCTGTGTGTTAAATGGATGGGGCCCCGTGGGCGATGCAGTCACCATTTAATATAATAACACAAATCGATCTATTTTGGCCAATCAGTACACAAATCAGGTTGGACTTTGTTTCTTTGGAGTTTGTAGGGCCTCGAAACCAGTCGGATTGTCCTTATATTATATAGCTATTTTGTGGTCTATTTTGTCTCTGCAAATTCTGATCACTTGGGGGCCTTGGGGGTTGTTGGACTCCAATCGAAAAGTCCATCCCGAGTGTCGGTCCAGCCTTGGTGTTTTGACCTGTCTGGAGCGGATCCCACAGGTTGGTGGAAGGAGGATCAGTACATATCTGCGGAGAGCGCCTGAGTAGGTGCTGAACAGACCAACTTCCTGGAATCTGCAGTAGAATCCACGCCATGAGGTGATGTGGTTTGGCTCTGAGAACCACTCCGCCGCTTCAGTGAATGAGCTGGCTTGAATTTTGCTGAAAGATAGAAACATGATGTGACAGAAGCCAGTGACATGAGTTGATCATGCCAGAAGTTCTTTTTTACTGCATATGCCTTATGCCAACAATGTAACTAACTCCAAGGCCTGTCGGCACCACCGTGAGATCTTCGGAGAACATCAGTGGTACATCCAGGATGATTGATGATTTGTCAGGAGCATGTTTCCCTCCTTTTGGAAAACAAGACAATTCGCCTTTTTGTTCGAAAGACCAACTCACACCCGCGCAAAAAGAACACATGCACTTGTATGCACTTGTGCATGAAAGATGACATCATCCCATAATCACCAAGCATCTAAGACACCCTTGGCGACACCCGGTGGAAACGCTCCGCGCGGTGCCCGGCGAGTCTGGTCACCGGCCGGTCTGCAGAGCTCATGGAGGGCTTTACCGTGGAGCCCGAAGCGACCCAGAGCGAGGCCCGGCCCTCCCGGCTAGACTTAGCGATGGCCCTCCCCACCTACTTAGCGATGGCCCTCCCCACCTACTTAGCAATGGCCCTCCGCACCTACTTAGCGATGGCCCTCCCCACCTACTTAGCGATGGCCCTCCCCACCTACTTAGCGATGGCCCTCCGCACCTACTTAGCGATGGCCCTCCGCACCTACTTAGCGATGGCCCTCCCCACCTACTTAGCGATGGCCCTCCCCACCTCCTTAGCGATGGCCCTCCCCACCTACTTAGCGATGGCCCTCCCCACCTACTTAGCGATGGCCCTCCCCACCTACTTAGCGATGGCCCTCCCACCTACTTAGCGATGGCCCTCCCACCTACTTAGCGATGGCCTTCCCACCTACTTAGGGATGGCCTTCCCACCTACTTAGCGATGGCCTTCCCACCTACTTAGCGATGGCCTCCCACCTACTTAGCTATGGCCTTCCACCTGCTTAGCGATGGCCTCCCACGTGCTTAGCGATGGCCCTCCCACCTGCTTAGCGATGGCTCTCCCACCTGCGGGCCTCCCACCTACTTAGCGATGGACTCCCACCTACTTCGCGATGGACTCCCACCTACTTAGCGATGGACTCCCACCTACTTCGCGATGGCCCTCCCACCTACTCAGCGATGGCCCTCCCACCTACTTAGCGATGGCCCTCCCACCTACTTAATATTGGCCCTCCCCACCCACTTAGCGATGGCCCTCCCCACCTACTTAGCGATGGCCTTCCCACCTACTTAGCGATGGCCCTCCCACCTACTTAGCGATGGCCCTCCCCACCTACTCAGCGATGGCCTCCCCACCTACTCAGCGATGGCCTGCCCACCTACTTAGCGATGGCCCTCCCACCTACTTACAGCGATGGCCCTCCCCACCTACTTAGCGATGGCCTCCCCACCTACTCAGCGATGGCCTCCCCACCTACTTAGCGATGGCCTTCCCACCTACTTAGCCACGGCCCTCCCGGCTACTTAGCGATGGCCCTCCCACCTACTTAGGAATGGCTCTCCCGCCTACTTAGCGATGGCCTTCCCACCTACTTAGCGATGGCCTCCAACCAACTAAGCGATGGCCCGGCCTCCAACCTACCGGCGACGGCCTCCAACCTACTAGCGCCGTGTGGTGTCTCGATTCTGGAAGGGTTTGCCCAGAAGAGTCACGTTGCACCCGAGTTTGCTTTTGCGGGGGCATAGGTCTTAGATGCGCATTTGGCTTGTGAGGCCCTCCAATCAATGGGTTTCCACTGGTTTCAGTTTATTTTTGTTCTTCCCAGGGTCAAGAAGGCTCACCCTGATACACCATGTCTATCCGGTCCGTTGACGAATTCTCGGGTCCAGGAGCGCTCGCCACAGCATTTCGATCTCTCGGCTGAGGACCAGGAGGCACGAGTGATTCGGATAATTTCCAAACAACCGGCTGTTTTGTTGAACATGTATCATACCGGGTCGGATATATATATATATATAATACATAGATATAATATACAGTAATATATTATATATAATATATACACTATGTCAGTATAAAAGTCAAGACGCCATCAACGAGGTTCCATGTGCCTTTGGATCCATACCTAGACCAAGCAACTATGTAGATGTATAAGGATGTATATCCTTGCAGGTGGATGAATTGGAAGAGTCATGCTTCGTGTTTGACCCTGGCCATGCGGGAATTTGGCCGCCAGGGGGAGAAGCAGCAACATGGTCGAACCTCAAGCTTTGAGCAGGTATCTCGACCTTTTTTGGCGGAGCATAGATGATGTGTCGGAGGTTCCAATACTGTGGACTGTTCGGAACTTGTTCGTGAATAATCCGTCCATATTGAGATGTATTGAGATGTTTGACCAATGTTTGACCATCAGGTAAGGTAAGTTGCACATTTTTCAACAGTCAACATTAAGTTCACAGAAACAATTGACAAATGTTGACAAGGCAACAAAAACACAGGATAACGTTTCTACGATGTTTGGGTGTGTGTGAAATTCAGAACCCCCGCCTGTTTGTGTTCTTTCTTTCCCCATGACCACTCCAATGGCGACGATGATGTCCTACAAGTCTTCCACGGGGACGTATTCCCGTGGTCATTCTTTTTGCTTTTGCTTCATTTTGCTTCATGCAACATCAACCCCAGGACACCACAGTTCCACCACGTCCTGCCCTCGGCGAGGCCTTCAATCAGTCGCCGAGCATGGCTTCGGGTGATTCAGGCGGCGGAGCGTGGTGAATGGCTGCCGTTGCGGGGCGGGGCTGGCGTTATATCGGCATATATCGGCTATGTGGCCTAAAGTGTTTTTTTTTTTTTAAACCACCCTATAGTGGTATTGTTGCGTCTTTATGATTGTGTTGACAATCAGACAAATGGAGCTCATCACCTGGAGGTGAAACAACAGTGATACATAGTGACATAGTGGTTTGTGACTGAAGTGATATCTTGGCTGGCTGGGTCAGAAACTCTGTCCAGTGGAGAGTTTTGCTTCTTGGATGCAAGTCCTTGAGCACGGAGGAGAGTTGGAGTCCCATAAACATTTTTATGGAAGTATGGAGTATGGAGGCCTTTTATGTTACTTTTCTCCAGACAGGGTCAGGGTCTTCATCATCCCTTACAAAGCTGTATGGTGGCCCCCATGTAACTAGAAGCTTGAGATGGACTTGACTACTTGACTTTCCCTCTATTTCAGTGTCACTCTGTATCGTCATCCTGATGAAGCTTCGTAATGTCATGATGTGGTCGCAGGTGAAGATAGTTTGCAGCAAGTCCGGGAGAGGCGGGGCATTGGAGGTGGTTGGAAGAAGCTTTGCGGACATTGAAAGACATTGAAATACAGTTTCCGGTTCGCCTGTTTGTCTGAGTGCGGTTTTTAGAATGTTCATGAATGTTCTAGAGATTTCCACAGTCTTTCAATCGAGGCTGAGATTCTTGAGCGTCGAGGATCAGAAGACCGTGTGTCGGCGAGAGCAAGGGGCCTCAGCGCAGTCACCATCCCTTGGATATTGACACCCAGTGTCCTGTTCAACGTCTTTTTTGGGCCAATCTTAACAACCTGACCCAAAAAGTGTCTGATGTGTCTTTGTTTCCTCTTCCAAGGCTTCTAAGGACTATTGGAGTTTGTTCCATTCAATGTGTTTTGCTGCGACTCCTTGGCTCAACTTCGGTGAGGGTCACTACTTTGAACAGCATGGAGGAATCACACCGGCCCAGCATGCCAAACTTGCCCAAATAGAGAAATCAACTAAAGATTTAGTCTCGCTATGTCTTGCGCTTTCTTGCAGGTGCCAATTGGCCCAACAACAGCAGGAGGCGCTTCAGCGTCAGATGCAGCAGACCATCGAGAGGCATCGGGATGGGAGTATTTCGAGTGGTGTTGGGGGTTCTTTTGCGAGCTATTTGTTTTTTTGCTTTCTTCCATGAAGGGATGATGCGGGTTGCGCAAGCAGGATATGTTGGTGAAGTTGACCGACGACTTCATCGGAAACATGTGCCAGTTGGCCCTGGACTCACTGATATCTGATATATATATATATATATTTGATGTGAATGAAATTCAATGCAGCAACCGACACACAAAAGTAGATTGATTAGTCTTGCCAACCCCCTTTGGAGGATTTTGGAGGTGCCAAGATTTTACTTCTGCAACGAGGAATACCTTTTGCCCTCGAAAGGGATAGCGAATTGTTGGTCTCCTAAACTCAGAACCGCAAGCTGCATGTGCTACTGATGCGTTTGGCACCTGAAAGTTGATATACTGTACATCAGTGTGATCCTCTTGTCTCATACAGTGGGTCTCTGTCAACACAGTCTTGCTTGGCACAGAGTCTTCCCTTCGTCGAACCCATGTGGTCCCATGCTTCGAAGAGTAAGCAGCACGTACCTCTGCTCACCTGGGCCAATGTCCACCAACATTCTTGGATTTCGGCTCTGGGCACCCAAAAACCAGCATCCCCCTTAAAGGCTACAGCCACCCTGGTGCTGCTGCTCCTTCCGCTGCCGCGCCAGAGCTGCAGCTGCGAGGTATCGCCGCGTGGTGCAGTTGCACGAGGCGGTGGACCAGACGAGCGGCGACCGCGTGGACCCGGAGGCCCGGTCCCTTACCGGGCCACCCGGTGGTGAGCGTGACCGGTGCCAGGTCCAACAGAAGTGCCAGGAGCGGATCGAACTCTTAGCCGCTTGGATTGATGGACAAGAACGGAACAAAAGAACATTCATTAAAAAACGCACCTCCGGAAGTGGGATGCTGGAGGGAAGTGAAGAAGGATGAATCTTTGGAGAGACGGAGGCCGGAAGCAAATTCATGAGTGCCAATTCGATCTAATTTTGTATACTGTACTTCGGCTGTGAATTGTCGGGAGAGCAACCACAATTGTTTTGAGGTTCGGATGAAAGTAGATGGTTTGCCTTGTGAAGAAGGCGGTCTTGACGAGTACTGGTTTGGGAGTGGTGTATGTATGGCTCTCACTCCATTGAGGCTGTATTTCAGTGGTACTCAATCTAGATACAGTACTCATCAGTACTCCATGTCGAAGGATTGTGTGGTCAATCGAGCCAATCCTCCATTGTTCGAGCCTGGTTGAAGCAGGGTCGGTATCCCAAACCGGACAATCCCACAAACCATCCTATGAGAGCGGAGTGAAATTCACACCCCGGACAACACCCCTTCTGCATCACAAAGCCCTCACACCAGGTTATCCGGTTATCATGGTGAAAGTGTGACGGACATGTGACATGTGCAAGACACATGGATCTATGCACACCACCGCAGTGGCAAAGGACATCACCTCAGCTGCAAATCCCACACCCCTCTCCAGCTGCCGTCACCTGCTCTTTACCTCTCACCCGGTTGACCCGTTGTCCACCTCCGTTCCACCGGGCCACATTTCCAGCCGCCGAGGAAGCCATGTGGAGCAAGCTCTGTAGCGAGCCGCCGGTGTCCTCGCAGATGTCTCCCATGGAACGAGCCAAGGCTGCGCGGCGCGGCGAGGGAAGGGGTCCGAGCGCAGTGGCGGTCGACCGAAAGTGGTCAAGCAGAACCTATGGATCTTGTGGCGAAGGCCTAAGATGATGTATATATTTGCATCCTTAGAATTCTTAGAAGCAGATCGTATAATGTTTTTTGGAAGGGTATGACTTGAATTTTTCTTGGAAGGTAATGTTCAACGAAGTTGCTGACACTTGACTTTACCGTCAAGGTCCGTGCGTAGAGCGGAGTTCTCAGCAGCCTGCACACTTCTCCAGAGTATTCTATGGCACTATCGGGAAACCCCGCCAACGACCCCTCTGAAGAAGAGCAATAGACCAAAACCCATTGGGCCAAGGGGTCTTCCTAGTCGCATGCATGCTTGTTTCCGGGTGATATGCACTTTCAGAAACGTGTTGCTCTATGTTGCTCTATCATTTGCCTAGCCACAGGCGTTTGTTTGAATTGGTCAACTGATGTTGGAGACTGCATACTTCGCATCCCACAAAATATGCAAATAGGTGGGCCTTCCAAAGTAGATATATAAATTCTGAATGTACAGTATCAGTATATGTTAGAAAGTGAACTAAGCGAACTATTGCTTTTTTGACTTCAGCATATTCATCGTGGTGCCAGGGCTTTGCTTTCTCATCCTACGCCACCACGGCCAATGCGGCCAACAAGCTCAAGGACGCCCTTCCCCAGTCGGCTTGCAATTGACGAGAACATGCGCTGGTTGCAGAAGCTAAACCCAGCCATTGGGATCAGGTGGTTCATGTCACCCCCGCACCACCCAGCCATTGGGTGTGTCATCGTGGTCCTGAACCAGCCAATGGGTGGGTTTGGCTCTATGATGGTCGATGTGCAGTTTTTTCGGGGGGTCGAACTGGGAGCTCGTGCGATTTCCACTCTCGCACCTGTTTTTATTCCCCGTTCATAGAACCAACATGAGGGGGCCAATTCATGGTTTGGTCCGAGTTAGGATATCTCTTTGGGCGCATGCCATCCGTGCTGAGCTCCATGTTGACATAGTCTTAATCATTTCATCTCATTTCCCACTTGATGTCTTCCCCAATCACTGAAATCAACTGGCCGGGTGTGGATACCAGTGCCTCGCTCGATAGACTATTGGACAGAAAGACTGGCACCGGCACCACCTTAAACATTTAGAACGCCAATGAACACCCCAATATTCATGCGACATGGTTTTGGTGGTTTGGCCGGTGGTGCAGTTGTTCTATCAACAGTAGGTCTTGAAAGACTGCGCAAAACGGTTGAATGAAACGAAGGGATCCTGCAGTCCTGCAGGGCAGGTCGGGAAATATCATGAAACATGATATCGTTCAATTCCAAGTCAATTCTTTTTCTCTCTTCTTTGAAGAATCGTCTCGGTGTATTCATTGAATCCTCTTCCCTTTTTTCGCTGCATGGTGCGCCTGCTCGCCGGCTCGTGTCGCTTTCCCACGCGACCCTTAGGAGGGTACCGGCCCAGTCTTGGAGGCACTAGCCGCGGCGCGGCTTGGAGCGAAGAAGTCACAGCTCTCGAAGCAAAGTCACTTTAAGCTACTAGTAGCAAATAGCTACTAGTAGCTCCTGACATTACTACTAGGAATAGGAAGAAGAAGCTACTGTATTAGTAACAAAGGGCATTTCTACTAGTAGCAGAATTCATGAGAATTCGTGAGACATCCGCACGGACAAGAAACACCCACACTTCTGCAAACGCCCTGCCTGTCTTGTTCCCTCATCTCTCTCCCCTCCTTCTCCCGCCTTCTCTCTCTCTCTTATGCTTTTCTTTCCTAGTTCTTCATCCCTTTCTCCTGCCGCTTCCCACACCTTCCACACACGCCAACCCGAGTTCACGAAACGAACGGCGCCTCCGAGTTCGGCACCTGCCAGAACGCCCGGAGCGCCTTCGCATCCCTCACGTCTCGCTTCTCAAGGAGGGAACCCGTCCCAGGCACCGGTGCCGTTCCGGGGGTGCGGCAGTTGCTGGGGGTCGCCCGGCCGGCCTGGGACCTGATCGATGACCTGATGGCACGCATTGACACCGCATTGAGTTGTAATGGGATCACAAGTCTCTTTTGCTGAATTTTTGTTGTGGCTACTAAGCCTATACAAACCGACACCAACTAGTCTATACTGGAATCTATGATTATTTATGAGGCTTACGCCTGACAGCCGGGCGCCGGCCTATTTGGGTTTGGGTATGTGCAGGGCTGGGTCCTGTCTCTCTCTCTTTGTCTCTCTGTCTCTCTCCCTCTCTCTCTCTCTCACACACCTGTCTCTCTCTTTGAGACTTGGTGGAGCTATCTGGTGCGCATCTTGGCCGTAGGTTGGGCCAAGTTGAGCCCATGCGGTCTATGTTGGGCACATCTTGGGCCCAAGTTGAGCCTATGTTGGGCCTAGGTCGGCCTATGTTACGCCTATGTTGGCCTAGGTTGGGCCTATGTTGGCCCCATGTTGGCCTATGTTGGCCCTATGTTGAGCCATCTTGGAGGCTATGTTGGGCATATGTTGGCTATCTTGGGCCTATGTTG